GAGCCCCTATCGCTTAAGGGCTGCTCTCCCTCCCCCCGTATACGACGGACGCTAAAGTTTTCACGAGTGTTACTCGAGGCGAAAGTAGCCGAAATGTGGCGCGCAGAAGGCGACAGGGCCAAGCGGCCGTATAATTTATGCGATCATAGATGTAATCGCATTTGAATATTCACAACTATGCGCGTCGCCGAAGCTAGTAACTTTATAATTACCAAGTAAATTACCTTTCCGCCGGGGGTGCCCAGCCCCGCCCCGCCCCTCGTCGCCCGACAGCGTCGAACCACGTACGAGAGCGAGCGCTCCGCTCCGTGGAAGGTGAATTTATTGAAAATTAAGTCCGATTTTATCGCGCGGAAAGTTTCCAATTTTCCACGGTTACTTTCGCGTTCTATTTCGACGGCCGGGAGGAATTTGTGACGAAAGCCGACGGAGTGCTTAATAAACGGTCCTACTTTCCCTCCGCCTAGCTCGCGCGAGCTATCGCCCCTCCCGCCCTCTCCTCCTCCATCTCTCGTCGCGCTCTTCTTTCCTCTCCATATATTCCTCCGCGCACTCGCCCGTCGTCTTTGTCAAAAACAAACCCGCCGTGAGATTCGATATTACTCACGCGGCTTGTAAATCCCGCCCGGCTGAGGTCTCATTACGCTTCCTATCGCGGCGTGAAGCGCGCGCGCGATACCACATGGACGAGTAACATTCCGTCGAAACACTTATTCGAATAAAGGGCGTTATCGTTTACACGCTTCGGGTCGGGGCGCCCGATTCGTCGAGCTCTTGCGAGTGAAAAAGTTTGCACACGTCAGCGCGCCACTTGTCAATCTCAGACACTCGAGAACATTTATTTCTTTCGGCGCGCGAGAGTGCGTTCGATTTCGCCTTTCGTATCCGCATCAGACTCGCCGAAGTTTCACGCGGCGAACGAGCGAGCGTGATGTGTGAAAAGCGCGAGCGTACGCGGGGCTGGAGCTGCACGCAAAATGCAGAGTTGCCTCTCTAATGCGATACAAACTCCCGATAACTATTGTAATGAAATTATCTGAAAATTGTCCGCGGACGCGTCGTACGGGGCGCGCTAACACGAAACTAATGCGCGAACGAGCGAGCGCGATTATATATAGTATACGTTTCACACTCGTTAAATCGCGGAATTACTCTGTAGACACACCGCGCGCACCCGCGAATGAAATCGCTGCTGCTGAGGTTTAACGCTGTCTCGCGTTATTCGAGTAATAAAATGACGCGATCGACGCGCAGCTATGAAATTATAGCGTCGCGTCGGCAAGACCGACAAGGCGAAGGGACACACACACACGTGAAGTAATCAGATGTAATCGGACGTTCACGCGCGAGATGAGAACACGCCGTCGTCGTTTCCGATAAAATGATGGATTTCGTATTCGACGTGTCACTCGCCGCTCATCCGAGTCCAAGTTTTCGCATAAGCTCTCGAGAAGCGAGATCGCGTCCTTTTAGGTGCGCGCACGCGGTTTCCTTACCGAAAAGTGTCGATAAAAAACAAAAGTTACGCCGTCGTAATTCTCTCGTCCTTCCGAGGGGAAATTTGCGTAAGAAGCAGAAAAGGGAGGGAGGGAGAGAGAGAGAGAGAGAGAGAGAGAGAGAGAGAGGGGGAGAGAGAGAGGGAGAGAGAGAGGGAGAGAGAGAGGGAGAGAGAGAGGGAGAGAGAGGGAGAGAGAGAGAGAGAGAGAGAGAGAGGGAGAGGAGGAGAAAGGGAATAAGAGAGCACGTGGAAGATCAACCGGGAGGGAGGGGGAATGGGGTAGGCAGCACGGATTTATCCCAAATTCGACGTGAGCTGAAGCGAAACGAGTCCCTTTTATCGGCGGATATTCTCGTCTCTTTCTGCTACAAGCTTTACGACGGCTCGTCGGCTCTCCGCTGCTGTGCTTTTATCGGCCGCCCTCCGCGTGTCTCCGCGTGTATATCTGTCTCGGGGACAGACAGTAAAAAAGGACCGAATTTATTTATAAGCATTACCCTCGGGAGAACGACAAAGTGGAGTCGTTTCGCCGACCGAAAACTGTAAAACGGCTCTTACCCGCGCGACCACGCTCGTATTTCAATTACGCGGATTTGTATGCCGCGTTGTCGTTCCATTCGAATAAGGAAGCGCTTTAGCCGACGCTTGCGTCGGACATTTTTCTAGGTGTAGCAAAGTGGAGTCGCGCGTCTCCCTTAGTCGTGCGAGGGCCGACGCTGAGGGACAAAATCGGAAGGACGCGTCGCGCGGACGCGCGACCTTCCTTCTTCAAGTGAGAACCTCGTTCCTCGGCTACCTCGTTCCTCAGGCTAGACCCTCAAAGATGCGTAGCAAAAATCATCACGCGGATCGATCGATACGGAGAATACGTCGATGACATGGAGATAATTCGGACAGAGCGAGCCGAGAGCTCGTTAAAGACGGACAGATTCATCGCGAATCCTTTTTCGGATTACTACAACGCCGCTGCCCCGGCGGTGCCAGAGACAGAGAGAAAGAAAATTGACTTAACCAAACTTGGCTCTAAGTGACGTTAGGGCGCAGTTCGCCCGTAAATGGATTATGTTGAGGATTCGGGGCAGTTCAAATCGTATGCGGGAACTTCCCACGAGAGACGTCGGCCGGCAGCGGGAAGCGCTGGTGCGCAATATGCGAGTGAAATTCCGTATCAACGTTAAATCCATACGGAAGTACTCGCTACGTGGACCCACGCCACGTAGAATGCCCGCCGTAATTACACAGTCGGGGCTGCATAACGGCACTTAACCGGCCGTTCGTAATTGCCGAGTTACCCTCCCGCGAAAATGGAACAAGTCAGAATGAAACGCGCGCGCGCGCGGATGTTGATCGGCCGACAATGCGAATCACCGGCGAAACGAATCGCGGCCTGATTAAACGAGACGTCCGGTCTCTCCCCCGAAAGTTAAATCGCGTTTGCTTAATGCTGTAATCCGCTAAATCCGAACGCTCTTACGTGTTACGCTACGCAAGCCGCGAAGTGCGCTCCTACGTCAACGTTGATTCCGAACGTTAATTCTCCATTCTCTGCGCGAGATGAAGCTGGATCCGCGTGATATCTTTCGCGAATGGCAGAAATGATGCGCCGATGCGGCGACATATTCGCGGGTCGCATCGGTAACGCCGCAATAACAACGGTGGAATGTGCGGTGGAAGCGAACGGAGGATGAAGTGGCTCTCCGATGATGGACATTAAAAAAGATATAAGCAGTTACTTGATAAATGTCCCGACTATACCGGGATTATTTTCGGATTCTCTTGCGCGGAATGCTGCACGAAAGAATCTGCGCACAAGTTCCTAATGGATCAAACGTGACGCAAATGTGTTAAACGGTGTTAATCGCGGTCGCAAATTCCGCGTTTGCGGAAGACATTTACCGAAGGGTCACTCTGGGGGTAAAAAACATCGGGAAAATATCGAACGCTATGCGGTCTCCAGTCGAGGAGAGTCGCACAAGGCGAATTTCGACGCGTGACGCGATTAATTCCGACGTCATAAATGTCGGTGGGATTGTAGAATGGAATTATGGAGGGGAAATCGAGCGAGCGCGACGTAAAACATCTGTTTGATGCTGTTATTTCGTGTCTCAATTACATCGCAACTAACCCATTTCGTGGGGCAATGGCTCGGAATGATTCCTCCCCCAACAAAATTGCCGCACGCTATTCTCTTCAGCTCTCTCTCTCTCTCTCTCTCTCTCTCTCTCAGGGCTCGGCAACGAGTGCTTTCCCGTTTCAAACGATGTCGATTCAAATTCTCATTAAATTCAGCATAGATGCGTCCAGCGGAAATTCTACGACGCGCTCAATAATTATCTGCAATTGATGCGTTTGATTTGAGAGCCAGAGTCGGTTTCGTGTCGCCGGGGTTTCCTTCCGGGCGGAAGGAAACGAATTATGTTCGAGAAATGTGTAGAAATTGAAGGGAATGAACATGTTCGTGTCGTAAGCTGTAAAATACACTAGAGGGGACAAAATTGTCAGATTGATTGCCACGTTTCTTGTCGAGAAACGTCATTTTAAAGCGCATCAATTTGTCGTTTTAATTATAGATTAAAGCAAAGTTTTACTCTACTATGCTAATATTTGCATGCACTTATCGCTTTATTTTTCCACTAAAAGCGACGCGGTTGCGTTGCGTCAAACCTTATCTTCCTCACACACGATGGAACGATAAGAACGAAAAGGTGGAGGCAAGAGTTCCCTGCAGATGACAAAAAACGCAGCGCAGCTAATTGCTGCACATACACACACACACACATACACTCGACGACCTGTTGTCGCTCAGGCGATGAACTTTATCGTCAGGATTATCGGCGCGCACACTTGTCCAGGTAATAGACGGCTCTTCTTTTTCTAATCCGTCCGTATATATTTTCTAGCACGTGGCCGCGATGATAGAAAACTCAAGTCAAGCTGCACAGCGAAATTTCTTTTCAATTAACGCGGCAAAAAGTGATCGATGAGCCGGGGGGGTAATTTCCTATTTTATGGAAGTAAATAAAACACACAAGCGAGATACGAAGAAATGCTGAACTCTCTCTCTCTCTCTCTCTCTCTCTCTCTCTCTTGACGTAGGAAAATGCGACACAGAAATCAACGTAATTGCATTCCGCAGACATCGCAGCGACGATAATAACAAACTGGCAACGCGCGATCGACGTGAGAGGCTCCAATAACGAGGCTCGCTTGATTCCGATGGGGATAATGGCGGCGATCGATGACATATCGCAGGACTGTTTTCCTTCCCGCGGCAGTCTCGCGAATCGTTATCATGAATTTGTCCCGTCCCACGCACGTTCGTTACGTCACCTGTTTGCTTACTTTAATCCTCCACCTTTTCATCCCCCACCGGCTCCATTCAGCATAGTGGGGCGCGAGGCCGGCGAGAAACTCCCCCTGCAGACAGACAAAAAGAACATCGCAGTTAATTGCCACGCACACTGCCCGATCACTTGTCACTCGCGCGATCCAATAGCCGGAGCCGGCGAATTCCGTCGTCATTGTCCTGCCAGTCGCGTAGACGGTACGCGCGCGGCGGAGAAATCGCGGACGGAGCTCCTCCGCCAGAAGTCGGGAGCGCTGTCGCGCGCACGAAGGTGAGAAGAAAAAGGAGCGACACCTCTCGGGAGTGGCCGTGGTGGCGGTAGGCGGTGGAAGTATTAATTGCGCGATCGCCGCAATTTATCGCTCCCCTCGCCCGCTCGCGCGGCCATTGCGCGGCCAAGAAGACATCTGCAGCCATGCTGGTCAGGTACGTGTGACGCGGTGACGGAAACGGCGCGTCTACTTGCCGGCGAGTACTTTCCGTCGAGTGTATCGGTGAAAGCGTCCGACCTGATAACGACGACGTCGATTGCAATTGCGAGTGATAAGGCCGATAACCGCGATTGCTGTACCGCCGTGGTACATGTGAGAGAGAGAGAGAGAGAGAGAGAGAGAGAGAGCTCTTTCTCGGTGCGCGTACGGCAGGGTGGAAATGTACGATACGATACGGGAGGTATTTCGCGGGAAAGTACGACGTTTAAGCCCGCTTTTGTCGAACGAGAGTCGTTCGGCTGCTCTCCGCGCGGCGCGGCGGAGACAAGGACCGCGAGTAACCGCCGTAACCGCAAATCCCGACGCGATTTCACTTCCGATCGGCTCATTTTTCCTACAATCAACCGCGCTACGCAGCAGTGCCGAGAGTGTGCTCTCCCCCTGCTGCCCCGGCTCCCCGCCGCGCCGGAAGCGGAGATTAAGCGCGGACGGAGCTCGTGAGAACCGAACGATCGCGCGTCTCGTCTCGATACTTTCGCGTCTCCGCGGCAAATCGCAATCGCGCGCGAGCGTTCTTGATATATTTGTGACAGCGCGCGACTCGCGAAATCCGCTTACGCCACAGACGGAGCTCTTACTCGCAATCTTCTTTCCTCCCTGCCTGCTGGGAAAAAAATAGTACAAAAGAGAGAGAGAGAGAGAGAGAGAGAGAGAATAGTCACTGTGATATCCGAAAGTCCGTTTATTCCGCAGAGCGTGCGCGCGCGTTATTACGCGGCTCATTGTCGTCGTCGTGTCTGCATCCAATTTCATCGCCGGTGCCGACGTGATGGACGTCAACGTCCACGTGGATCATCGCGAGGAGTGGGTCGTCAGGGTGCAGGGTGGATCGCAAGTGGCGTCGCTATTGGCTGTGCAGTCTGGTTACAAGCACCACGGCTCGGTAAATCCATCTATCGATTCGATCCAGGCGAGGTATACTTGTGTCTTCCCAATCTCATAATATCGTCAAAATTGCATGTCGTTACCCTCGCGGAATCGCTTGCAACGAAACACGCGGAGGAAAGATCGCAAGTCGTGCGACCGAATGCGGAGAGCGGCGGAGAACTCGCTGAGACGAGAAATGACATCTCCGCTAACGCGAGCGAGCAAAAAACGTTCTGCCGAACGTTCAGCTGTAGCAAAACTCGCTTGAGATAACTGATCGCAATTGACTGACATCAGAAACCTCCCGCGGGAATCTTTTTGTCTCCGCAACAGCGGCTTTTTCATTCGGCTTGGCAATTCGTCCCAGGCGGCCCAGGGAAATTTCATTACACTAACTGCATTGTTTTTATCGCGCACAATCGCGACATTTGCGCGACCCCAGCGTGAGGCCCCGCGCTCCCCTATCGACGGGACAGAGGCAAATTGGCGAAAAGACCGCTACGCGTCCCGGGAGTAACAGATTCGTACGTTATTCCTCATCGTGCGTCATCGCGTCGCTGTTTAACGAGCGCTTGAAAATAGGTCGATCTTGTCGGATTATCTCGCCCGGCGATATTCCGTTGCGCTCGTTAACATATGGCACGCATCAGACCACGATATTACGATATCGGTGGAATCATTTCTGGCGGGGGGGGGAGAAATATGTACACGCGGCTTTCGCCCCGTTCGCTCAGTCACGGCCATGAGAAATATTCCCTTCTGTCTCGGGCTGTTTGTAAATTTTATGGAATAATCAATCGCGCGCGGTGTCTCGCGCTTGGATAGCTCGTTGCGATTATTTCGCGACGCGAATACATAATCGCGAGTACATAAAATATTCGCTGGTTAAAAGAATACCCTCGCTGAGGATATTCGTAGATGAGGAGGAGAAAGCAACGACTCGGCCGACTATGTCGCGGGCATTTCACACAGCACGAATAGTTGCGAGATGCAAAACTCCTTCAGCCGGAAAGAAATAATTTTTTCCTGTTTCTTCCTTGGAGATTATCCGACTATCTTCGGCGAAATCCTCGCTGCCTTGAGAAGCATAAAAGTTACGCTACAGAGAGTGCTGACGCAGCTCGAGTAAAGTTAAACTGGAATTGGGCGTCACACAAGTGGCTAACAATAAGTTTATTAAGCAGTTGTTCAACTTTTAATTGCATCCTATTGTCTCTCTCTCTCTCTCTCTCTCTCTCTCTCTCTATGGTTCTAAAGGAGTTATAGATATCTTTGACAAACTCATTCTTCGAGTCGGCCGAGTGTCGAGCGCGAGAAAACTTAACTGATTTCTTTTAATTTACGGTAACGCGACAAAATAAACACGTAATTCTTTAGCTGAAAATAGCTTTCACGAACAAACTTTTGCAATTTCTCCAATGTACAACGTACGTTTCCACGGGGCAAATAATTCTTCCTACCATTAATAAAAATATCGTAGGACTCCTCTCTCGCGGAAAAATGTCTTTGCAGTTTTTTCGCGTGCGCGCGCGAAAGAGAGAAAGAGAGAAAGAGAAATGTTTCGGTATGTCAAATAATTTCGATACCAGCCGCGAAAGGATTAATAAATATTCGCGCAGACGTATGTAGAAATACGTATGGATACCAAGGGAGGATCCTATCCCGGGAGCCGGTGGCATCCCACGAAAGCCGTAAAAAGTATCCCAATTTCTGCGAAAACTTTCCGCCCTGTGGGTCCCATTCAGCTCGCAAATACACGGGAAAAAGGATGCGCGGGCGAAAGAATTTTCACCTCGCCCGGCCAGTCTTTGAAGGCACTCGCTCTCATTCTCTTTCTCTCTCTCTCTCTCTCTCTCTCTCTCTCTCTCTCTCTCTCTCTCTCTCCCTCTCTCCTCCATTCTCGACCGCGTTGAATCTGACCGGAGAACGTAAAAACGTGTTTCCGAGTCCCGGCAATGTGGATGTACGGCGAACATTGGATCGGGACGCCGCCGCGCCAAATCGTTCCCTCTGCCGCACAGATGATCGCAAAGAGATTATCTCTGTAAGCGAGCCTTCACGAACCATTTGATCGTTCGTTCGTTCGTTCGTTCGTTCGTTCGTTCGTTCGTTCGTCCACTCGTTCCGCGTCCGTCGACGTTGAGCGGCGCTTACGCGCGCGCTTACCCGAGAAGAGCGGCAGATCTCGCGGATCTCGCAGAGAGAGAGAGAGAGAGAGAGAGAGAGAGAGAGAGAGAAAGAGAAGACCGTCCGTGTACTTTGCAAAACGAGTTTCGTCGCGGGTTCGACGCTCGCCCCGAGAACCCAAGAGGAAAATATCGGCGAGCCGGCCCCCCGATATCGTATCTCTTTTCCCGTTCTTTTGACGAGAGAACTCGTCTCGAGCAATCGCCTTATTTTCATCCGTAGACACCGAGCATGTCGCTCGCGTCCGCGCTTCCCCGTGCAATGGATATCCCGTGTGCGTAATGTATCGGAGAACATACAAGAGAGCCGCGGAGCATCGATACTTCCCCCCGCTCTCCCTTCACACCCCGGTCCGACAGCGATATCCCGTTAACGTCACAACCACGCCGATTAACGCGATCCGCTTCCGCCGGAGCGTTCGAAATGAGGTTTTTTTTTTCTTTTTTTTTCAAAAGAATGCGCAAGGACAAAAATTTATTTCTCTCGGTTGTGTGTTTCAACGTCCGTTAAGCGTGTCGAGCGTATTATTGTATAAGTGCGCGAGCGATTTTTTCCGAGAAGCCGCAAACCGCTCCTTTCGCAAGAACTGGCGGCAGCTGGTTAATTGCGCGCGAAGCAGAGCGGCGCGTGCGATTTGCGCGCGAACTCTCGCAATACCGCCGAACGCGGCACCATAGACGTCCGCGGGCAAATTTATACACGGGAGCAAGTATTTATTGTCCATTAACTCGAATCGCAATTGCAACTTCCACTGCCGAGTGTCTCGACGACATTTTCGTACAAATCTACACAATAAACCGGGAACGAAATCGCAGCTGTAAGGTACCGCTGTCTAAACCCGCAGACGATAGTATCTGCAGTTATCGTGCACTTTACACAACGAGTTTTGCCTCGTCTCGCCTCGCCCCGCGCCGCCCCGCATCGCCCCGCGTCTCTCGAGCGCGACAGCGAAAGCATCGGTGAAAAGAACGATATCGTATACCTCCTCTCGGCTTTGACGAGAATACCGTGCAATCGATCCTCCCATCTGTCCTGCGATACGTCGTTTGGCCCGGAAGCGGCGAGATCATCGATCTCGACCGAGAGGAAGATGCTTAGGAACGCAAGGTAGCAGGCGCAATTTTTCAATCGCGCAATTCCGTGCCGCGCGGCAGCGCGGCAGATACACGGCGAGGCGGCGGCAGTTAATTAATTATCCTCTCGGATTGATCGTTAGAACTTCATTAGTGTTCAGCAAACACGCGTTCCGCCCGAGATGATCATTACGGACGAGACCGTTCGTGGACGAACGGTCCACTCGCGCCGCTACTCGGCGTCCTGTAACATTGATTACGAGTCTGGCCGTTAATCGACTCTAATCTTAACCGAATGCGATATTTTCGCGCAAGCCCGACGCAGAAATTCGCTCGTGCCGTTTCATCTCGCGCATTACTTCGGCGCGTCGCTTCGGCCGCGCGGCGACTTCCTCACTCAGCTCGGCCGTTCGGCGGATAATTACTTGCCGCGACGCAGCGTGCGCGAGGCAAGTTTTCCAAGCTCGCGGCAGCCGCGAGCCGCGCGCGCGACGTAGCTCTCCTCTTCAAGTGCGACACTTTCATCCGAGGAACTGGCTCGCCGCGAGAGAACGAGAGAGAGAGAGAGAGAGAGAGAGAGAGAGAGAGAGAGAGAGCGTGCCGCGGCTCCGCGACTGCTCCGCTAAGCGCGGTCTACCGTAATCCGCAGCGGCGGAGGCGCAGTGCGTGCGTGCGAGGCCACCTTTGCGCTGTCTGTAAATCCGCATACATCCGCCGGCTCCGACGTATAATTATTTCGTATAATTAAGCCCACTCGAGACGAGCCGCCGCGTAAGAACACGCGACGACGTCGCGCGACGGACGACGACGGAAAAGCGGCGAGCTGCCGCTGAAAAAGCCGAATGCGAATTTAATTGCGCGCGCCGAGTCGCCGGGATAACGGGCCCCTCGCGATTTACGGGGGCAACGTCGTCTCTCGTAACTCGTGGATTATAACGGCGCGCGTGTGGTACATTGTTGAACAATCGACTGCATTAATTCGCACGGGCGCGCGCGTTTCGAGCGAACTTACAGCTCGCAACGGTGGTAACTCGTTCATTGTATCCGGCCGGAGAGCGACACGTCGCGCCGTTGCAAGCCACATTCTGCGACACAATGGAGAACGACAAGCGAGTCCGGTACAGATGAACCGAACATGCCGCTGCTGTTTATTTTCACTCGAGCCCCGTTCTCGTTTAGCGCGCGCGCGCGCGCGTCTTGCACCGCGCCAGATGTTATTCCCTTGCCCTTCGCCGCTGAGCGATTCGCCGGAGCGGGACTCCACGTATCTTACATACGTGCCACATTTTGCGTGTCCTGATGACACCTGATGACGTGAGGAGGAGCTCACGGGAAGCCGAGCCGATGTAGATAGATTTCATCCGAGTAATTTCTATATCCATATTTATAACTGATATTGTGGACACCTGCTGATGTTTTATTTATAAAAGCTGCAACGAGACCGAGTATCCTCGATGTGTCGATACTCGGAGGAAACGCTCCTCCACGATCTGCTGCTCTTCTCTACAGAGCGCGTGTAGTTGCGGTAATTATCGCGACATTCTTTTCGTCTGAGGACGATTGTGAGAACAGCGGAAAACTTGGAAGACGCGCAACGTTTTTGTGCAAAAATTGGATCTCGCGGAATTTACCTAGTTTCGTTGTTACACAGGGCGAAAATATATCACATTTAACGGACCACGGTTTGTACAAACGTAACATAACGTTACGTAATGGCGGTGCTCTCTCGGACGACTCGTCCGACACATTGAACGAA